ATCATGTTGTTTCGTTAATATGATGGTCTAAGGCAAAGTTCCTTTCTTTACCATTAAAATCATTCTGTAACTATGTTTTTCAACTTGTTTTCTTATGATATCTGAATGTATTCTGATTTAATGTTAGATCAATTTAGGAAACACGTTAATTGCCAATGATTGTGAATTTGAACATAAGTTCTTCTTGAAATAATAAGCTTATGTATCCATTAAATCTAAGCAATTTTATAAAATGAGTTCAGGAGTTACACAAGTTCCGTCAGGTATTCTCGTCAAAACAGACACATAATATATTTTCAAAGTCAGCTGAATTCATTCTATTTGGCTATTTCTCCTTCGAACATTTGCAGATGGCGTTAAATAACCATATCAGGATAACACGAATGATGGACAGTGACAAACAGCGGGATACAGAACGCAAGTTCTGTCCTATTTGGGACTCATCAGCTGGATTTACCTTCCTCCCAGTGAGATATTGTTCTCCAGAAGACTTTAACCTAACAAGGATCACTTCAAACGTCAGAGACTTATCTGCAAGGCCACCGAGTCATGATAACCACTTCTAGTGCAATGGGTATAGTTTATATGATATTGCTTGTATTGCACCGTGGACCGAATTGATCGGTGTCTGTTGGCATATAGATTCCACTGATAGCTAATACTTATCGTTATTATAGAATTGAAACGCATAGAAGCCCATATGACAATACAGACACATCAATTCAGTTCAATCAATGAGGGGATAATACAAGCAACAACATAATAACAAGAATGTTTCATGTGAAAGGTAGGTGAAAAACGAGAACAGAAAGTGACTTTATGTTGATAATATCTTGTTCCAGTTCACAAACACATCTCTGGAGTATAAATTGGTAATTGAATGCAAGCCTAGAGGATGGTCTCAGCTTATCTTGATTTATCTATTACTGCATATGATGAAACATTCGGAAGAAGAATTTGCTGTGAAAAAGTTTCAGTTGCATAATGTTTGATTCTCAAAGGATTTTTCCCAATGAGACATAAGAATATACTGGTCAAAAGTGGACGGAGTTCAAAATAAATGATATGATGGTCAACAAGACGAAAATTTTTGTTAGTTTTTGTAATACAAAGCATTTCTGAATACTTTCATTCAGATGTTTTCAAGAAAGTGTATATCGAAAAAGAAAGTAGCTGTAATTCGGATAAATCACTGTTTCATCAACTAGCCTATAAGAAAGCTCAAGCATCAAAAAGGATCCTTAGTTAATGTAAAATTTTCCCCACAGCTACTTATTTTAGTAATGAAACTGACTTCTTTTACGTCATTAGTTACAATATATAGTAGTAGAAAACGAACATAATATGAAAAAAGACTAAGGTTCAAAATGACAATGACTATGACAGAAAAGAAATCACTGGAAGTAATGACAAAGTACTGTCTACACGTATCGGTTGACTTATTCACTAATCCAAATGCCTAATGAACTTCATCACTTAGTTTCCTTTGTCTTTGAGGTTTGGGTTAGTCTAATTAACATTTGTATGCTTTTGCTACTATGTCTTTTTTACTCTTCTAACACTACAAAAAACATTTTGAAAATGTTTCAGAAAGAATTATAAAATTGATGAAAATGTACAGAAAAGTACTTTGATTTCTAGTGACATAATCTTTTGTCCATCACTTCATATTTGTGCGTGCCTTACAGTTTTACCTTTATTCTTTGCTAACACCGTATTTTCTTCATTTTAGACTAGTAGAAACACATATTATCGGATGCAGTTTATACATGGATGGTACCGACTGGATCGTTCTCCTGTTTCTTTCATAGATTCCCCCTTGTACATTTCCCCCTATAACTTAAGGTTCACTAAGGAAATGTAGATGAAGGCTTCGGGTAATCTATCATCACAGCGAGAAGGGTTGCATCTGGACGTAAAGATTTTCGCCCCGTAGGTGTGAATAGTTGCTCTAGCTTCGGAACCTCATACTTCATCTACTCCATCCCCAATATGGAAAGGTATTGTATGTCCCCCTGGTAGTCGTTTTCTAGTGTCGAAGGCTTCCACCTTGTTAGAAACCTTCCAGTAAGGAAATAACTTGTAGTACACCTTCTTGGCACCAGAATAATACCAGAAATAAATAAATAAATATCTAAAATACTTAAGTAATAACTAAATAATCTACAGCATTGAAGGATGACTCTAGTTCTGTATCTTGTTATTACGTCGAGAGTTGCCATTTTCGTGTCCTCTATTTGCTGATCGGCAGCAATGAGCTCAGAATCCCTAGCTGAGCCATTAATAGACGTCTGAATAATAAATAAATAAATAAACTGAACACTTTTCACCGTGTATGTGGTTTCTAATTTGTCTTACACGTAGGTAAGGTACTGATTACTTTGGTACTGACACACACTGATTTACTTAAGGCTGGTAAAGTGGTGGACAAGTGTAACACAACCAGACTCTTACAAGTGTACGGTTATGACATGGTTGTGTGGATTTAAAGATAAATTTGCTGAAAAGATCTTTCTTCTCGGAACTCTTTGTTCTGCTGAGTTGTTTATGTGAATGTAGTCTAATTATCTATGTTTTAATCATCTGTTTTATCAATATATAGGCAGAAGTTCTAATCACGACTGGTAAAAGTCTCCCAAAATTCACTTGGTTTAGGCTTTTAGTAACTTCATGTATTACAGTAATGTTGTCTGGAATAAAATGGTTATTATTACTATGTTGGTCATGAAAGAATTTTAGTCCGTTAGCGTAACTATCGGTTCTAATGGATCCGAGAAAGCAGAGAATACATTCATTTCGTGTATACAATAGGTCCAGTTTACGTTGCTAGTAATTCGATTAACAATGACGCGTATTGAAAAGACCAAAATATGAATGTTGCGAACGATGTATTTCAAGCGCATCTTGATCAGGAAACCGAAAATCAAAAGAAGCACGAAGTGTACAAGGGTTGAAGAAAGTGTGTAGAAAGTACTCAAACATTCTTGATGCAGACAAACATCTCAACAACGTACAATGTCTAAAAATTGAATGATATGTCCGAGGGAACAAATTGAGGTTACTGCAGACTGTGGACTGCTGAATAAACAGAACATGCATAAAATGTACAATAAATATTCAGGTAATTATTTCTTTTCTACAAGTTGGTATTTATCATGGACTGATATGAGTTGGAAGAACATTGGAAACCTCTGAGCACTGGGTGGCTGTCTTATCCTAGTATGAGACTTTTCAGCAATAGGCACCCATGCCCTCACCAGGGATCTAACCCAGGACATACAGGCTCCGTGGCCATCACGTTACCATTGAGCTACAGGGTAGGAATCCAATGGTCCATATTTCCAACTTCTGTCAGTTCATAGCTCATATCATTCCATGATGAATATTAACTTTTAAAATCTCTAAATCTATGTAAACCCCAAAATTAAATTATTTTTTGAACCAGAGCAGTAGGATACTACTGTAATTTATTGACACTCAAGAATTAGTCATTCACTGATCAAAGTAAATTATACAAGAAAGAAACGTCTTGTTCAGTAAGATTACAGTGTAGTTAATGTGTATGCAATATGCAGTAGGTTTTAAAATGATGAACTAGAAAGTCTTGAAAGGGTATATACACAGGTAACATTTTATTATTTATGCCACTGTCTAAGGCACCCATTCGATAAATTCTGACATGAAGAGTTTGTATAGTCTCTTATTAATAATCAGTAGTATTTGAAATCATGGTTAATCAAACTTCAGTAACTATAAAGCATTTTGAAAAAATCAAAGGCTACTAACAGTCTCATCTTCAAGATCTAATCACAAAACCTCGCTTCAAAGATAATTTATATATGTGACTACATGATACACAAATCATTCTCTGTCCTGAAAGTTTTGAGATAAATTTGATTGCTCCACATCATGACATAGTTACAGGTGTGATTTTGATCGAAGTTTACTACATACCTAATTGGTTATTAAAAATATGCACTACACATAAATATAAGCTAAAAACGAAAGTAATATACTGTAACCAGGTAGTTTTATTGATCGTTGAAAGGTAAATACTAAGGGTTTCGAGCTCTGAGTGTTGATCAAAGTTTGTTGGTCTGGTTTTAAATTCGTTCACTTACCTAATAACGAGATATTTCAGTGCAATGTATTTACTGTTCAATATTTGCAGTCAGTCAACAGAAAGTTTTGTAACTCGATCTTTTGTCTCTTGGTATATCTGCAGTCTTGAGAAAAATAATGTAATATTGAATATTTAAAACTATTATAGCCAGCAATGAAATCACAGAGTTTACTACTCAGCTATTCAGAAAAAGACTAAACTTTTGTAGGAAATAATTATGCATTCAGTTCAGTCTTTAGCTAATAAGCATTGTGATTCTCGAATCCCAAATAATGGTTCAAATTAAACAAATATTTTTAAAATCTAGTCATTATGATAAATAGCACCGTAGTTCAATGAAGTTCTTAGATATGGATTGCTCAAATGCATTTGACTGAAAACCTTGAACCATGATTTAATGTTTATTGTTAATCAGCAGCAGTTACAGACACCGGATATCACTGTTAATAGAAAATTAAATTGACCCTAGCTGTATCAAGTTTATTCAGATTCTAATGAGAAGAAATAAAACAGTCAGAAGTAAAATATGTATGCAATAAACCACTTATTTCTACTTAAAAACACTTAAGCACATATGATTATAGGCGTATATCCGAAAGTAATTAGTAAAACAAAGAGATTAGGTAAAGTCTTACCAGCAAAAAAAGAAACATTTGTTTTTTATATTTTGACCAAAAAAATTGTGGAAATTGAGTTTACTCAATCGAAAACCTTGAGAAGAAGAAAGTAAATGAACAAACTACATTTATGTTACCTTGACAATATAAACGACAAACAAATGTAGTTGTTGAATGTGATCATATGACCTTCTGTGTATTATAATATCATTCAAAATAGCTAAATTGCTAATACATGGAACTTAATCAACCTAAATTGAATGCTTTTTGGAATACATTGTAATGGTACAGCAGAATTTCGTTTTTTGCTGATGGAAATTACAACAGGGTCCTTTAACGCATTAGTAAGTTATTCCTCAACTCAGCTTACCATTCAAAATTAGTTCGCGAACACGACTACCCTTTTCTATGTAATTAGGGAAAGAAATAATTGGATTTCAAATTTTCAATAGTGGGTATTTTCTCTGAAGCAACTTATTCCCCTTCGTGAAATAGTACTTTCAAAGTTATCAATTCTATTTCAGATAAGTCGGAAATTGTGATGCCTAGAAAAAATCTTGTGTGATACTCATTCAACAAAGCATACTGTAAATTTCTTGCAGTTTGGTTATATTTTTGTATTTAAAATGGAAATTTTACTAACCATGGGCAGGGAGAAGTATACTCAAAGTAAATGCTACGATAAAGTTACTAATCTAACCTGAAATGTTAACGTGATGAAGCTCTTAAACGGCCATCATTCTTGTAAAGTATCTAAAAGTGACGACTGGGATTAGTAATACCTATAGAAAGCTATTGATTCCCTAGCATGTAAATAGTTTACAAAGTATTGATTTCTATGGGATAATAACAGATCATGAACACGTAGAGTGTGACCACTTCTAGTGCTGTGATGACGAGGAAACTGATACCTGATTACTATATATACATTGAGTGATTATTTATCTCAATTGTGTTACAAACCTTGAGATTCATGTTCACCTGCAATCTATCCTTAGCTGTTCAGTATCATAAAAAGGAATGATGGTATTGTGATAACATACCTCATGGTCAGATATCACTTTGCTGTCTACTACATGTAACTTTATTCAGATATCTTTGCAAATACTCCATGTACCAATATTACATGAGTATTAAAACTAGTTTTGTCAATACATATTGGATAATGAACATTCTATCTACTTGTGCTTGTTTTGAATTTATTGGTTTATTATCAATACAACATCACAATTTATACTTCACTTTGTCTCCTTTTTCTCACACTGGTTGATGTGGATGAATCAGCAATGTTCAGGATAATCAGATAGAGGACTCAACAACATTTCTGATGAGCTTAAAATAGCATAGATTTCATTTTACCTCTTTGTTTAGCTTACCATTCATTTAAAAATACAAAAGTTTCAGTAGTCAATATATCATCTTACTAAGATAAGAGAGTCACATTGACTTCAAGTTAATGTTTCTTAGTGTCAAGCATGATGATTTTTATACCACTGAAGTGAAGTTTCTGCCACCTAGGAACTACATTGTGATTATTTTTGCTGTTTTACCTAAACAATATTGGAAATGACTTTTGAACTTCACTTCTGAAACAAAGTGTTAGGAATTTAGTGGGTCACATCGACTAACACTTTAATATTCTTGTGTTTATTTCAGTATCCATTGTATCTGTAGCAATTTCTAGTAGGCATGAACCGGTTGAAATATTGAAATATCAAGCTGTTGATGACTATCGGCGGTTATTTTCTTTAATTCAATTCTGTTCGCTGTTGGGACTATCCTAGTTAAGTGCGAAGAATGACAAAAAATATAGAAAAAAACTGTAAAGGACAAACAGAGAAGCAACAAAAACTTAAGATTAGCTCATCTATAATGCAGAATATAAAGACTATTTGTACGAACCTTTTTTAGTGTAAAGTTTTCTCATTTTCCTGTAACTTACTGTAATTTCCCTTTAGCCAACTTTACCAGTCCTGAAGTATGCCCATTTCATAATATAATGATAACTGATAAGCTTTTGAATCCACTTAGAATTTACTCTTTTAGTGTTAGTTTTCAAGTTATTTCATTCATCTTTTTGTAATAATAATAATAATAATAATAATAATAATAATAATAATAATTCACTTTATTCCAAACAATTTGTGGTACAATTTGGAATTCTCAGCGTAATATATATTGCAATAACAACAAAATATAAGTATATACATACTACTTTGCAGCCTTTTGAATTGTTTTATTATAAAAATTTAAGTTATATGAAGAATATTAAAAACGAGAAAGTTTTGCATTGTAAGTTAAATTATTGAAATGAGATTTTTAACTGTCACAAAGTTGATGTGTGATTTCTGTTCTAACACTTTTTTCCTCACAAAATATGCGTGCAATGTAAGGTACAGTCGATTTCTTATACTTAGCTGTACCAGCATACAGTCTTATGTAGTTTCTCCTTGTCCTCCCTGAGGAGATACATGGAGATAGCTGTAAATGAAGTGGATGCTCACTGTCAGTTAAAATTTCTGTAGCTAGTAGCTTGCAGGAATTTATATGTCGATCAACTACAGTGTTAATCACTTTAGCCAGATACACACCACTCACCCTGCTGACGGTCTTCAAAGCCCTACGCAACATGAAATAGTCCTTTCTAAGAAGACCAGGAAAGATTAATGGGGAACAATATAGAAGAATAGGTAAAATGCAGGAATTGATAAATTGTAAAAGAAGCAGTTGAGTTACACCAGAAAGCCTCAGTTTCTTTACGTAATAAGTTAAACGAAAGATTTTTTACAAGTCAATAAAATATGGGAAGACCAACAAAGGTCGGAAGTAAAACTCAACCCAAGATAGTTCACACTCGATTTACTTTCTGCAGAAATACCATTGATGCAGCAGGCATCATGAGATTTAAGCAGCTCACATAAGTCTTGTTTACATCGTCTTGTACATCGTCATTAGATCAAAATATTCTTAATCTTAGGATTATTGTGATGCGAGTAAAATACTTTACTGAGCCATTAAATCATTTTCACTATCTTGTACGGTTTAGTATAGTGCAGAACCTTTTGAGCATGATGGAATGTTTCCCGCACCACAGTCGTCTGTCACATTCATTAGAAATGAGTAGTTTCAGCGTAACAGCGACGAAAAATTTGTTCTTAGTAAATCATAATGAACCTATGATTTTAACCGCTAAAATATATTGCTTTTCTAGTCAGTTTAAAAACAAACTAAAGAGTATTTTAGCAATATTTGTTGTCAGTACTTACAGGCTAGGTAAAATACTAGTCAAGATATTACGTATGCACACTCTATAAGGCCGACAGTGTATTGTGTTCAGAGCAGAAACGATTATTTATACGTTCAACAAACATTTACTACAAACACTTTGCTCAAAGGCATCACATAACTCAAAAAGCCGATATCATATGCTGTTAGATAATCAGTGTTGCTGTCCACGCAATGGTTCTTCAAAATATATTTCACTTGCTGTTATGACGTTAGCGAATGAAAGCTTTTGGCCATTCCAAGTAACTTCATTCATACATTAGTGTTAATATCATTTGTAACAAAATTACATTACTACTGAAGATAAATTTGTTTACATCTGCTGCATATTGACAAACAATGAACGACTTTAAAGTTCATCATAGCAACTGATGAAACAAACAATCACGTTTCTCTATTCTACGAAGAATGGTCTTTCCAGCCGAAATACCAACACCTGATCGGTTGTTTAAGCAGTTGCTAGGGTGGCCCTCAAAGTCGCCCCAAACAGTTAATGACAATTTTTCAAATCCAGCGACATTTTTCTCCTGCTTCCTTTGCTTTTGTCATACGTTTTTTCTGACATCTTTCGGTTATTGCATTCAAGTCAAACTGTATTTATCTTCACCAAAATATCTGTATCTAAGTTGAAATTTATGTGTATGGCTCACATATTATGTTAACAAAAAAGCTACTTCCGAATAAACTGCCTTCATAATAATTTTCAACAAAATAAAGTGTCATCAGGAAACATACTGAGATAGCTACCTGTTACCAGTCATCAAACGACATATTTCTACTTTGTTTTTAGTAAGATGTATTTCATTTCCTCGTTAATTGTTTATCAGTTTTCCAGGTTTTGTCTGATAAGCCTTCTGATCATTAATGCAGGCAATATGACTGAGTAAAATTCCATATTATATCATTTACTTCATGTAGCACACAGTGACATTGCATTATTTTGTTGGATGACATTTCTAGTAGAACTTATTGCTCTTTATCATATCCAAATAATCACTCAACCTGGCTTTTACAGGTCGACAGTTCTTCACTCTTTTATTTTAATGGTAATAAAATTTTTGGAATATCTGCAATAAGTGGTGAATCATTCTTCTTACATGTTTTAGATGTTGGTTCAATGAAATAAGAGCCTACTGTCGACCTCTGCCTTCACTTAGTCATACTGGATTCTGGATGTCACTCTACCGCACCTTATATTATGATTAGGAATCGGTACATTCAGAGCGTTATCCGATTTTTCTCCGAGCTACTTACCTCAGTGGGGTCTATTATTCTACTTTTTGCTAAACATTTGTAATGTGATATTCTGATTGACTATGATGGGCTACTTTGATGTATGTAACTGACCTCATAGCCATTGCATGGTATTTAATCAATATATAAATAATAATAGCATATCATTTCGGGGAAATGCAACAATTAATCCCCATTTTCAACAGTGTGTTCTCTTAAAATAAAACTCGCTTCTACTGAATTCCCCTGATTTCTCAGGATGCCTCTACAAACGTCTCATTGCTTTCACGAAGACCATTAGCACTTCCGTTTGATTTTCAGCAAGAATTTCCCATCCTGCTTTATGTCGGTGTGACTATGCCACACTGTTTTGTGTTGCATACTCTTTCAGACTGCAAATTCAATTCTCATAGTGCAGTGACACAAATCTTCCCACTCTTACTGCTATCACCATGACCCGTTCCACTTTATGTTCCAATGAACAATGAAGAAGGAATATGTGGAAAAAATGTATTAAAAACGTATTCAAGAAACGGAACAACACGTACATAAGTGGTAGTGGATATTCAACAGTTTATGAGGTTGCTGAGGCTTAATCCTATAAGCTCTGGAGCATATCTTTGACAGCAATCCACGTTCTCCTTTCGGGTTTCTCCTGGCCAATGACTGCATTTCATACATCATTCCTGAAGTGGTTATTCTCAATTCTCTAATAACTATTGTCCTTTCGGTAGGTTTGCAAAACATGCGAAGATACGAATGAACATCTCGGAAAACTTACAGAAATCACGGAATAGACGTCTGTGCTTATGAATAAATAACGACG